GTATAACCAATGAAGTGATCCGTACAACATCTGAAGATGAACTTAAAGGCCTATTTATGAAGATCGTAAGGGCCTTCACACACAAATTGACATAACAGTAACGTAAGATGTACCATAAGAATTAACCAATTACGATCGAGTATTCATAAAAATGGCGACCTTACGATTCGACGATTGTCAACATGATTGGTCAATTCTTATGGTACGTCTTACGTTACCATTATGTCAATTTGTAATTAGGAGGCGCTAAATTCCCTTATAGAAATATCATACTAAGAATCATTGATAATTACTTATTATCCAGTATTTTTAATACTGAAAATAAATAATTATCAATGATTCTTAGTATGATATTTCTATAAGGGAAGGCCATGGCATACAGAAAAACTTAAGCAGTAAGACGTAAACAGTAAGCAAATTGACCAAATAGTTGCTGATTCTTTTTTTGGTCCAAAAATCAACGACTGTGATTGGTTAATTCTTACGGTACGTCTTACGTTACTGTTATATCAATTTGTATACCCTTATAGAAATTTAATACTGATAAGTGATAATTTGACCAGCGATAATTATTGTCGTTCAATAATTTTATTACTCGTACGAGTAATAAAATTACTATTTATTACTGGCCAATTTATCACAGCCAGTGATACTTTTCCATAAGGGTATGAATGCCCTAACCGTTAAATTATACTGTAATCCATAAGAAATTGATCAATTGCAGTCGATTGTTACAAGAATAGTCAACTGCGATTGGTCCATTTCTTATAGATTACAGCATAAGTTAACGGTTATGGTCTTTATAAATGGGCCTTAAATAAGACGGTTTTAAATATAAAATCTGCGACCTCATTTTCGAAAAATGTCGTATAGGATGAAAAGTTATAATTTATGTTACATTTCAGATAGCACAGAAAATTTAAAAAAAATTTTTTTAAGAATTCAGTTGTATGTCACCAACTCTGAGTTCATTTTCAGATGCAAAAAGAATTCTTTAGAGTTCAGTTTGGTGAAAAGAATTCTTCTTGCATCTCAAAATGAACTCAGAATTGATGACATACGACTGAATTCTTTTTTAATTTTTTTTAATTCTTTGTGCTATTTGAGATGTAACCATAACTTTTATAAATTATATCTATACATATACGACTAAATTCTTTTTTAATTCTCTGTGTCTGAGATATTATAGCTTTTCATTGAAATGTCGTATGCGATATTTTTTAAGAATATGGTTTCTGACTATGAATACCAGCCTTAGGATCATTTCACCATCTTCGATTAACTCAAATAATCGATTAAATGTCAAACGTGATTGGTCAATTTTAGTTTATTCTGCTTAATGCGATTAGTCAATTTCAATAAAATAATCGGCCGATTTAAATTAATCAGAGATAATTAAATTAGCTTTTAATCGCGTTGATTACCTTATCATTTCATCACAAATGTCTATATTATATTAGGGCCAATATTCATAGTTGAATCTTATATTTAAGACTATCTTAAGTTCATCTTCAGATGATATATGGATCATTTCATTGGCTACGAAGTATCTGAACTTAAGATGGCTTAAGATGTATAAGACGCAACTATGAATACCGACCAATGAACCGTCTCGATCATAGGTGCGTATTATGAACTCATCGATTCCAAGCAGAATAATTTCACTAAAAAAATAATACAAATCTATAGAATAACTGAACGATTCCGACGAGTTCCATAATATATAGGAGCTATAATTTGTGGACTCGCGTGCACAACGCACTCTGCGAATCGATATATCGAAAATCACCACTTCGAGTAACTGATTTTGTTGACCAATGATTAGCCTCTTGGACAGATATTCTCAGCCAATAGCAAGAAGGAGAATTCAACTGTTGTGAGACGGTTAATAATGCTACAGTACGAATTTCAGAAGCCGTCGCGCAATTTCAACTCGTTGAAGATGAATCTCGATTATCATCAGGAGTGACCGGAAGCGAATTTCTCGACAAAATATCGTTCAGCAGCCGCCGTGCGTGAGTATCTCGCGCGGACAGTCGGGAGAGAGTCGAAAAATCGCGCGTTTGTAACATAAGATTCAACTTTCTATCTCTTTCGTAGTCAATTTACCAAATGAGGATTGCGCGCGCAAACTATCACTGGCAATGCCGAGCGGAATTTTTATCGCTGCGTCCTACATTTTCGATATCGGTGAGTGTAATGATAGAATTATTAAATAGAATTATAGAAATACTTATCAAAAAGCAGTAAGAGAGAGAAAAAGGGAGGACAGAAGGAGAAAAACGAACGATTAAGTTTATACAATATATATGTATGAAAATTTAACAAATTTTAACAAATTATACGGTGTGTATGAATACCGATACAATAAGGAGAATTAGAAATATATATGAATTTGTTTGACGAGTAGTAAGACAGAAAAAGAGAAAGGAAAATGAACACGACTTAATACGATATCTTTACGACAAAAGTGAGAATTTGTAACAAATTCTTCAATGTCAATGAGTAACGATACAGTACAAAAGATGATGGAAGTACACACGAATTTGCTTGATGAGTAGTAAGAGGGAAGGAGAGGAGGGAGAAACGGACTAAGCCTACGCAGCATATCTGTACGACAAAATTGGAAACCCATGACAAATTCTTAGTGGATTGATATCGCGCTACACTGGGTCAAGCTCGTACAACAACAGCATACACGAAATTCCGGGGAAACGGTAAATTCTTCGGGTGCGTCAGGTTACTGTTATGATAACTATTCGCGTGACATTTCGCGAGCGGTATGTGAGGCATAACGGAGCCACCCATAGGTATCATACCGAAGAGACACTAGCGAATTCCTAGTATTTTTTTTTTCCAACAATATGTGTTGCAACTTACGCAGGCGGTTGCTTAAAGTATCTCTTCCTTAACAAGGTTCACATGAGGCAGGGTGTAGATATAAACAGAAAAGCATAAAGAAATACTCGTTATCTGTGTAGAAAGACATTGCTCGTTATTGTTTTGTCATTAGAAACATTATCTGATTAAACTTATACGATAGCTATACACGCATAGATGTACATATACATACATACATACATACATACATACATACATACATACATACATACATATATATATATATTATATATATATATATATATATATATATATATATATATATATATATATA